AGAATTGTTAGATAGCGGACTTGCTTCCATTCCCAATTACCGTTTTCATAATTATCCTCAAATCATACTTCTCTTTGATTATTGTATGCATATTGCTACTACTATTAGTATGGATCTTGGTAAATCAGACTTTTCCTACACATTTGTGCTTCATAAAGTGATAATATGTTATAGAAGGCTTACTTGCTTATAAATAGCCAGTAGAGGTCAGCATAGTAGCTAGAATGGTAGTAAGCAATACTTCTTGCATATTTATTATGTCGATCCGTTTGGGTTCAACAAAAACAACGGTCACATATTAGCATTTAACATACACAGATGTAAACATTCATTCACAGCTACGCACACATACACACACACGCAGACACACACATACTCACAGACATACACATACATACACACACATACACAAATACATAACAAATGCATATATATATATTTGTAGAGCTGCACAACAAATCGTATGTAAATCAGAAAATAATGCACCTGCAATGCTTTTTGGAATTACCACAGCCATTCTCGTTGCTGCCACTTCATTCAGTGTTGTATCGAACAAGTGAAATCACTACAGTACTGGGCGAAAAATCTGATAATTTAATGTGATATACTTTGATAAATAAAATTTACCTCTGCAAATAAGCGTTTTATGGCATGACAAACAATTACAGTAGTAATGGGATGATGAGCTGATATTAGTAATGACTAATTAGCAAAGTTGAAAGTAATTTATATAATTCGAAAATAGCAAATCAATAAGGAACAGAACGTTTCAATTTATCTGAAGCTATATAAGCACATTAAATTATGATTCCTTTTCGCCTGGTAACAAATTTTCCGGGAGGATGATCTTTGAAACAGTTTTAATCAAGAGATAATCAATAGGACAGTTCTAACTATCAAAGTACTCCAGGAGAAAAAATTAGAATGAATGAATTGAGAGTAACGACAAGAGAGACCAGCCAAATATTTAAAAGAACAGCTACAAGACCATCCAGTTGACACTAATTCTGAAAGGATCTGAAACAGCAGCACTTGCAAAAAGACGCGATAATTCTGTGATTGGTGGTTCGATAATTCAGTGATTCAGTGCTTCTGAATAACATCAATTGCTTTGATGGGAAAAAAATAGCCATAAAAAAGGATAAAAACGGTAGCAGAAATGAAGAAAAATTTCTAACATTTCTCTAACGAAGGAAGCAGCCAAATATTCTGAGTCATTGTGGTGTGACGCCCGATGCGTGCATCGTTAATTCAAGATACAGGAAGTCCGGATAGTCAGAAAGTTGCCCATTATGACGGGTAAGGATACTTCCTACGATATAAATCAACTTACTTCAAAATGAAATGCAAATTTTTTGGCAGTATTTTTTATTACAGCGACATTAAGAGTGGGTACTCAATCAAACCTTTATCAATGGATATTTTACTGTTGCGAAATTGTACGACTATCAAATTTTGCATTTTTTACAGATATGATTGAAATTTTCTAGCTTGATTTTTGATGAGTTTAAGACAATTAATAGTTATAAGTGGGAATTTTGAAACATTAGTTTCTTGAATCAGAAATTATATCAAGCTATACATTAAAATCCAAACTATATACTTGTGGTAGCATCGTGCCAATGCAAAATTTCGTGCAAATATGAGAGCAACAAAATGGTAAGTAAAGTTATCCATTTAATGAAAAAATTCTCCGAAACTTGCTTTGCAGATTGTTAAGTAAGCAACCAACAAGTACAAAACAACAAATAAACATTTTTAAGCAAATAAAAATAACATGAATTATATAATGCTCCTATGTAACTTACGAGATTTAGTTGATCGAATGAATTATACGTCCCAAGTGGGGAGAAGTTATCCGTCACATTATTGTAAGTATCGCAAATACCAGCTACACTTTCCATGACCTATCCTCACGGAATTCCCGATTTTGTAATAATCAACAGATAATGTCACTGATGAAAATTTTTATCATCTATATTGGTTTAATTTGAATGACACTGTCGATGAATTAAAAAAAAAACTGAAACTTCATCAAGTTCCACAATTTCTTTGTTGGGACAATTTCTATTAGCATGGATATAAAAAAAAAGGAAAACTTTTCATAGCTCAAGAACAGCAAGTTCGAATATGAAATAATGTTCAGATATTAGAATTATGCTATTTTCAACAGTGGTATTGAAAAAAGATAATAGCACTGATAGTGAGTGGATGGGCGAGAATGAATGTCTTCCGCTATACTCATTTCAGTTTTAAGATCTTTCATATATGGTTTATATTTTTTTTAATTAGTCCAGTTAATTCCCTGAATATTTCTAATTTCTTTGTCCTGTTTCTGATTTTCAACTTGAACACTAGAACTTGAAGCTTACGATATGGGTAAACTTCTCGAAAATAAAAGATTTCATAAGTAGTGACTGCAAAAAACTTACTTATTTTTGCATGAAAATTGTAGAACAAATTTGTTGAGACGGTAATTCCTTGAAATATTTGGCAATACGATTGTTCTTTTACAGTTAAGCTTGAAGGTTGGGATAAAAATACCGAAAAAGGTATATATGTACACACACTCAGAAGTGAAATGCAATGAGTTAAAGGATCGCTTGGCGATCAATCGCTCTTGGAGCGCCTGCAAAATAACTTTCCTAAATGATTCTGAAGTGTATTTCCATCTAACGGTAATGCGTATTGAGCTGAAACTGTAAGGGTTGCCACGGATTTCGGAATTCTTCTAGTGCCATAGCAGTTGTCACATACGGAAGCTTTCATAGACCTCTGTATTACAGAGAATCGCAGTTAAAGGGGATCGCTTTGGAACTGAAACTGTCAAGAAATTGATTTCCGGACATAATAATTATTTTGTTTTAGATTTTATTTTATATGCTGCTTCAATTGTTATTCATTGATCGAATGTTCTGATCAAATGGATACATTTACTGATACATTGCAATCAGATTTGTATGGAATACTGACATACATGAAATTTAAGAATAAACTTCCAGAAAAGGAACATTATTCAAGAAACAATAAATTCAAATCAAAATAATAATGTGAAATCGCATAGAAGAAATCATTTGGATCATTAGAAATCATATAGAAAAATTTTCGATCTGAAATCGAAAGATTTAAAGTCTTAAACCTCCCTCCCGTAAAGTACAATTCGTGATTCTTAAAGATTTCATCTTAAGACTAACGAATTGTACTTTATGAGAGGCTTAAGAAGATTGGCGTCTTGAGGAAGAAAGGGAAACAGTTTCGGAGTTGTCTCAGATCGATTTAGAATTATGCGAATTTTCTGTTATTTCTACCCTTAAAATCAATCAATCAATCCATTTTACACGAAGAACGTTTTTTGTTCAATCTGATATTATGTAAGAAGTGACGCTTACCTCAGAAGTCTAAGCATTCATTTCAAAGCACTGTTTACTTCTTTGGCGTATATAAAAAGATTTGCTAAGGTTTATTTGCTTATAAAGTTGATAGATGATGCTTTATTAGAACATGAAGCAGAGAGAAATGGAAGTGGTGATAGTCGTGATTAAGTTTCTATTCGTGAAATATTTATCATAATACCATAACATTTAATGAATTCTCTCTCTCTTTGGGAAATGTTTGGGCATTTAAAAAGGGAAGAAGGAAAATGGAAGCGGAACAAGACAGGCAATGAAAGGAGGAAATGGCAGGATGATTGGTGAGATTGAGTTTTTATTTTTCACGTAACTAAATGGACATACTTGCCTTAGCTGGTGAAACATAGCTTAAAATATTCCTCTACTACTGCACAAAGGTTACTTTTTCTCGGTCAGGTCATGGTTCTATTTAAGTTCTCAGTTTTAGCCTTCAGCTAGTAATGTTTCTTACTGTTGTGTTGCGAAATGAAACCGAGAAGCAAGGTGACTAGGCATTAGGCGGACTAGCTGACGACTAGGCATGATTAAAGACAAATAATGCTCCTGTCCACTTAAGGGTCCCTACCTCCATCTAGTTGCTTTTTCAAAAAACAGCTAAATGGTTGAACAA